ACTTCTCATCTATATAATTATGATAAAATGCCTCAAGTTTTAGGTTAACTAATATGCAAGCGCAAAGTTCCAACCTCATAATATACATCACCCATACCTACACATAATCAATGTATCTACTAGAGTTTAGCTAAATATAATTTATTAGCCAAAATTTTCAAGATTTTTTAAATTCGATGTTGACCTCATATATCTCTTCTCAGTCAATATTACTAAAAAAAGTGCTAATAATACTAACAAAATACCTTAGCGGGCCACATAATACATGTCCGTAGGCCATCTCCGCTCCTCGACAAGGCGCGGCATCGCCACCTAGTAGAAATATAATAATAAGTAAAATGAGGAATATCAGAATTGACTAATCCATACACAAATTGCAAAGGTTGGAAACGATAAAAAGAGATGGATAATGCATAGGTGAAGGTCAGAGGGAGATGATGACAAAGATCGCCAGCATTGTATATGGGAAACGTTTGAATGGAATCACCAAGAATAAGAAAAATCATACATAATCTTACCGTATCCACATCAATTTTCCTTGTCGTCCAAAGCCAATTCGTTCCAGCAGTCCAAAACACAGCTGCAGAAATCAAAGAATTGAAGACAAATTAGGGTACGACGACAAAAAAATATAAGCAAAACAAAACTGAGACGCAACGAAATGGAAGGTATTAGATCTCAAAAGCCCGAAAAGTAATCTTACGGTATTAGATCTTCAAACACAAACCTGCAGATGTGCCTTCTCTGAAACTTCCGTACCTCTCAAATCCCTTGATCAAGCTGGAGTTCCATTGATCTCTATGCGGCAAGGTAGAAGAAAGAAAGACAAATAAGTCAACCTTCATTTTCATTTGATGGAGAGAGGAAAAAAAAAGCGACAGAGGATGATGTGATCCAAATCCGAAGAGAACCCTCGAACTCGGATTATATGATCAAAGTACACAGTTTTCCTTCTTTTTAAGGATTTTCTAAGCTTTTTCTCCAACTTGAACAACTCGAAATAAAAGATAGATGCGGAATCAATCGGACAATCCCAACTCGTGACAAAAGGCAATTGGTATATTAAACCAATCGGACAGAATCAACTCGTGGAAATGGGCAATTGATATAGGGTAGATGCTCGCCACAACTAGACGCGTTCTCTAGTTGATAAGAGACACGTACAATCTCCTGGAATCCTCGACAGAAGTCTTGCACAAAAGAACTCGTTCGCAATGAACTTGAACTCAAATTTGATTGATAACTTGAATATTGGATACAAAATTCGTAGCTCTTACACCCTCTATTTATAGAGGTCTAAAAAAGATAAATCTAACCTTCTAAGGATATTTTAACAATTCACAAACTAACTAAGAAATAAAAGACCAATTAAATACTAATTAAACTTCTAAAACGCTGCAACACACGTCTTCTTCTTTTCCTTGGCGGTTGCGGAATCTATTACCTTGGCTGCCGCGGATGTGCTTTTCATTTTCTCTGGCGGAACTGAAATTCCATCCCACTAATTCACATGGCAATTTAAGAAAAGCTTTTTCCACGTGGTCTTGGTTTATTATGATCCCATGTAATAATTAATCTTCATGTTAAGAACCCAACAAGTAAATGATCCATGGAATCCTCCACGTCACCACCTTCTTCCACAAACCATCCAATTCATATGCATGAATGACCACGAGACTAGTATTGCGAACACAAGTTGTCCATCAAGTATGCCCCCAATCGATCTTTATATCGTTGAATTTGAGCCTTCATTTTTGGACCACGTGAATTAAATATAGCTCTAGTCGATATTGTATCATTCCCTCTCTCTTGAAGAAGATCGCCCTCGAATCTTTATAGAACTTTGATCTCTGATTAGCACTCTTCTTCTCGGTCTTTGAACTAAATTGTCTTGATTGCGAGGATTGCATCATTCCCCCTTCTTAAAGACAATTCGTCCACGAATTGTAGAGACACCATAATGATGAAAATCCTCTACATAATGTTGAATTTCTTGTCGATTCTCCAAGCGGCCTGCCTCTTCATAAATTGTATTACCAATCACAAAATCAATATGAGCATACTCGGGAACTATTGGTAAATGTTCCATAATTACCAAGCATTGATCTCCTCCTTTGAATTCTGGTTTCTCATTAAATTGACCAATCTCTTGCGCACTCAAATCTGGAACATCAACAAGAATATCTCCTTTTCCTTCTTCTGCTTCTTCTTCGACTTTCTCCTCTACTTCAAGTTTTGGTTCTTCTCGAGATGAAATCAAAGCTTGTGAATCCTCTTCACAAGTGACTATAGTAAGCCCATCAACAAGAACCTCTTCTTTCTCTCCTTCTACTTCAGCTTCTACCTCAACTTCCTCGCCATGGATTGAGCTTGAAGAAGCAGCATGCTTATTAATATCAATGGATCGTGCACTTGCAGCCTCTTGCTCTTTCTTATTTTCGCTTCTTCCATTAGCGCCTTTACTCTAGCTAAGCGTCCCATTATCTCTTCGTGAAGAGATTTCCAATCACTTGAAAGTTGTGATGTGCTCTCTGGAGATATTGTAGGTGCCGGATCTTGGACGTTGTGATGTGACATGTTTAAGTAATTCGAGTAACTAAATGTGACATGTTTCAGTAATTCGAGTGACCGGAGTTGGACGGAAGCTAATGAGAGAGTGACTAAATGTGACCTGCTTTAATAATTCGAGTGACTAATATTGATATTAAATTTTTCTAATGACTAAACATGACACGATTTAGTAATCTCAGTGACCAAATGTGGCATTTACCCATACTATCATTTTCTATTTGTTTGTCATGTTTATAATATGTATACAAAACAAGGACAATATCATAATGTGCCAAGGACAATAATAATAAATGGGAATATTCCGTTTAACCTTTAACGTAATGTATATCAGTTACCAATTCTTATCTTTTTTTTTCAAGAGTAACATATAGCAACATATATTAGAACCGGGAAATAAAGAATTACACATTTTATGAAAATATCAAAGGAAACTAGAACAGAAGAAGGGTATAAAAAATCTAACTCATGTTTGCACATTAATTGAATATTTTTATTATTTCTTTGTTGTTAATTAATTAATTATTTATAATATATACAATAGGTAAATGTGAGTGCAATCTTGAAACTTTAAAAGTTCATGAGGGTATATGAGTAAAATATTATTATGAATTTATTACATGTTACAAATTTTTTCTCTAATGCCATTCTAATACTTTTGAAAATTATCTTAATACTTTTTCTCTAATGTCATTCTAATACTTTTGAAAATTATCTTAATACTTTTTCTCTAATGTCATTCTAATTAATATGTTTCTCGTTTGCTCCTTTCCTTTTCTTATATTCCATGCACACCTATTAAAAATCATGTCTTTACTTTTTCCTTAATGCAATTTTACTTTTTTATTTTTTAGATAATTTATTTTTCCATGGGTGCGTGAAGATAGATGAAATAGCTTGGGATATGCTCGGATGCATAACACAAAATTACACAGATGTTATAATCAAACGCGAAGCATTGGATAGATCTTGTAGTCTAAGTTTATATAATTTTTCAGTCCTTCCCTCTCATGAGATGTATCTTCTTGGTTTTAAGTTGAATTTTGAAAAAGTTTGGATTTCAAAAGATTTTGGATAAGAACTATTTTATGGTTAAATCAGAAATGGAGTAAGCGTTGCACGTAGACATACAAATGAGCAAAGTTTCTCGTTAGCAGTTCTGACTTTCGTCTCTCGAAAATTCGCTTGAAACTCTTCTCCTTTACTAAGGAGTCGAGTTTGAGCTAACTTTTGTTCAGCTCGCGAAGTTTGCGAGCTAGCTCGACTCGGTGGTTTGTTGAGCTGAACCCGTGAGCTTGGTCATTTGTAGCTCATGAGATGTCTCAACATTTTGGCTGGAGAACCAACTTCATCACCAACTTATGAGTGAATCGATTTATATCTTAGGGGTGGGATTTTGATAATTCATAAGATTATTAAATTATATATCTCACATCCTATATGAAGTTTAACATGTTAAGCATATAAGCAAATATGTCTTATTTTTATTTTTAAAAAGATATTATGTACCATAATATTCTTCGATACTATGAAATAACGTGATTTTAATTAGCTCAAATTGATTAACTAAATAATATGATATCAATAAAGTAAAATATGAGATTAGTTAATGTTGAACATTTGTCTATTATTATTATTTTCATCATGATAGCAATCACATGTATCATACATGACATAGAAAATGAAAGTATCAAATACGAGCTAAGATTTTAGTAACAAGCCTAGCTCGAACTCGATCCGAGTCAAATCGTTAATCTACGAGTCGAGCTCGAACTCAGGTTGTTTATTAACAAGCCGAGCACAAACTGGGGCAAAACTCGACCCATTTGCAGCCTTGCGAGTCGTGCGGTGACCAAGGAGGACAATTTCTAAGGAGTCGTTTGCTTCATGGATTTAAAAATGAGAGTTTTATAATTTAAAACTCCAAGGATTTATCAAGAATTTGAGGCATTATAGATTTGTAACAATCTTTTGTTTGTTGAGATGTTTTATCATGGATTTAAGAGTTTGGGATTCAGAACTTGTAATCCGAAATGACCATATTATCTTTTTCTATTTGTCTGTCATGTTTATAATATGTATACAAAATAAGGACAATACCATAATGTGCCAAGGACAATAATAATAAATGGGGAAATTTCGTTTAACCTTTAACGTAATGTATATCAGTTACCAATTCTTATCTTTTTTTTCAAGAGTAACATATAACAACATATATTAGAACCGGGAAACAAAGAATTACACATTTTATGAAAATATCAAAAGAAACTAGAACACAAGAGGGGTATAAAAAATCTAGCTCATGTTTGCACATTAATTGAATATTTTTATTGTTTCTTTGTTCTTAATTAATTGGTTATTTATAATATATACAATAGGTAAATGTGAGTGCAATCTTGAAACTTTAAAAATTCATGAGGGTATATGAGTAAAATATTATCATGAATTTATTACATGTTACAAATTTCACATTAATATGTGAGATTTACAAGTCCGTCGAATCCGAATCCACGAATTTGTACACTTAAAATTCGTGGGGCCCATAAATTTGATCCCTAAATGAATTGCAATAACGATGGATTTTTCTTAAATGGAATGAATTTGAGTACCAAACCACCCCTATAAGCGTGACTAAGATCAATGCAAAACCACCGGAGGGCCCAATAGAAGGCCCACAACTGTATTGCAAGCCCAATTCATAGGAAGACATAGAGACGAACTCGTTAGCACAGAGGGAAGATTTTGGATGCTCGGGGGATAGAAACGAAAATCCCCTAGCCACGGCAGCCGAACTACTAAATAAGACCCATGTTCTCAAAATAAAGCAGGAAAAGAAAAAAAAATGGAGCAGAAGAATCAAAAGCACGGAAAGTTACTTTCTTGTTCATGCTATACTCAAGACTCAAGCTCCAGCTACAGCTACAACCTCTACGGCTCTTGCAACATACATACATACGTCCACAAAGACACTTGCGTCCATCCCAAATCTACAACCAAAATTCACCATCACGACTACTTCTTCCGCAACTTCCTAGCAGAAGAAGAAGAATTACCCATACCAACAACAACAACAGGAGGAGGAGGAACGCCATTGTGCTGTTTCGAAGTCTTCTTGGCGGCGGCGGTGATCATGGTCTCCTCGTATCGTCCAGCCAGCGAGTCGAACAGCAGACCCGCGGCATAACCGGCTGCCAGATCGATGGTGTAGTGACCCCTCGACCCCAGGAGCCGGACCACTTGCAACACGTTGAGAATGTCGTACGCCCACGCTAGCCCGAGCCTCTGCATTCTCCTCATGTCTTGCGACGCGATCACCGATCCGGCCACGTGCCCCGAATAGAAGAGGAAGAAGGACACGTTCCCTACGGGGAAGTCCACCCCTGACCCCAAGTATCCCTGCCAAATTGAACCAAACTTATGGTCATCAGCTGCGTTTTCGATAGATAATATAACCAAGGAAATTAGTTTCTCTAAGGAACACAAGTTGGGTTCTTCTTTTTCCAACCAGTCCGCTTGTTAATTACCTCGGGGAGAGGGAGCTGAGTGGTGTAGCCAAGAATGCCGCGACAAGTGAACATGAAGAGCGCAGCGATGGTGGGTCTCGCCCTTCCTTCCACCAGAAACGTCCAGAATATGTAGCTCGCTTGCATTCCCACGAATACCTTCACAAAAACCATTACCGGCCCATCACATACAAGCTTGGGCCAAGCCCACCGGATACAGTTTCATCATATGGTGATTCGTGTCGGGCCCCATGGGACCTCCAGTTAGCTAACTTAGCTGAGCCCAAATAAATTTCAGCTACAAACTGCATCTGTAAAGTTGAAATGCTTTTTTCACGCGTTTTATGGCTCAGCCAGCAACTCGTTTGGTTGAACGCCGGCTAACAAACAAGAACCACGGCCCCAAGCAGACAACATAGATACTTACATTCACACATTCAGATACCAAGTCACATGCATGGAAAGATAAAAGATTCTTCTTTTTTATTTCTTCAACTTTTAATTTTGTTATCCTCAATTTTCAGAAAACAAGAGAGACGATTTATTTTATCAGAAATTGAATTACGATTATACTACGATTCAAATACTAAATAGTGAAAATACTTTATTATTAACTCATCCGGTACAACCTCAGTTACTGTATAAAATAGGGGTGGCTATTTGAACCGGGACCGGATTAAAAACCGGAAACCGGACCGTATAACCCGGACCGAAACCGGACCGGGACCGGATAGTAAACAATTCAATCCAATCTTTGGGCTTAGATTTGAGGTAAAAAACCGGATAAAGACCGGATAAGAGAGCTCAACACCCAAAACTTAAGGGTAATTTGCATAAACGGTCACAAACCTTTGCACTTAGCACAAAACTTAACCTACTCCTCACCCTTTAAGGCCTTAGACCACTCAAATCCCACAATATCAATGTAAAATCAAGACCGAATTGGGACCGGACCGGATCAAGACCGGACTGTATCCAATCCAATCTTCGGTCCTTATATTTTCAAAAAGACCGGACTGGACCGGATCAATTTGGGCCAATTTAACCGAACCGGACCGTATTGCCACCCCTAGTATAAAATGTTGTGTCGGATTGGAGTTCGTATGGTTGATGAACGACCTCAGCCATCAAAAATATATTATTATAAAAAAAAAAGGGACAACGTGCACCCCTGACGATTTTAGGACAGTACCGTAAACGAGACAAATCAATAATGAAATCATAGAAAGTCTGATGAAAAAGAAAACATGAAATTGACAAATCTAAGTAATTATCACTACTTAAACTAATCAAATCCCAAAAATAGAAAATCAGCACAAAAGCAGGCAAATTAAAATGAAGATCGAAAAAGGGGAAACAACAACATGCAGAGAGATTTCGGAACAAATCTGGAGATTACTTACCGTATTAAGAGCGGCGAGCAAGTTGTTGAGCTCCGGCGACGAGGAAAGCAGGCGGTGGAGACGACGCGTCGCCACGAACCCCAAGTCAAACGGCGGCGACGACGTGGGGACCATGCTGAGGGTGTACTCCACCCACATGAAGAACAACAGGGCGCCGCCCAGAATCACCGGCAGCCAGTGATGCCTTACCACATTCTTCGCGTCCGCCACCCTCCACGTCATGAATGCCGCCGCTGCCGGAGTCGCGCCCATTGGGTACTGACCGTCGTTGGTGTGGTGACTGGCCTTCTTGCGCTTCAACGGCAGAGTGACGGGGGTGGTTGCTGTTGTTGTAATGGCAGCAGCTGCGGCGGCCGCGGGTGAGGCATTCATGGCAGGGTGGAAAATGATGATGATAATAATAGAGAGTTAATTAAAGGAGTGGTGTCAATTTGGGAAAAGAATGGAGAGAAGGAAGGTGGGAAGGTGGAGTTGAGCATAAATGTAGGGTGGTGGGGGAAAAGACGTGGTTGGGAAAGAGAGATGTGGTTGGGAAAGAGAGAGATGGGCGGAGTTTACTAAGAAACGTAGAAGTTTGTAAGGGCATATTCGTAAATATATATGCCACCGTCCTACTAAATCTGGTGGCCGTCAATTCAATCCAAAAAAATCTCAGTTAGCCAGTTGTGCGTTGTTTTGACTGTGAACAATGGCAAGGGGGCCGCGCGGGCATCCATCTATAGATCGAATAATGAGTCGAGTCGAGTCGATTATGGTACATGAAATCGTACGATATCAACGATTCAACCACGAAATACTAATATGGGAGGCTAAATTAGTAGGCGGTATTTAACAGTTTAACGATTGAATTACGGTTAAACCGCGATTTTATCATAAAATATCACACCGCTGACTTTTCCGATACGATATTCGGTACGGTTTCATGTACCATGGTCGAGTATAGTTTTGTTCTCATTTCATCTATTAACGAGCTGAATTGAATTCAAGTTTGTTCATTTATTAGAATATTAATTCATCATTAAAATCACAAATTTGATTCGAGCTCAACTTATTGAACTCTAAAATTAAACTCTTAAATCATTTACATTATTTAGTTCATAAACTTTAACTAGCTCATAAATTTTAATTTTATATTAATTATTATCTAATCAATCTAAGAACAAAAGTTATTTTTTAAATTATAAATTAGACATTTGCTCACATGCTCAAAGTAGAGGTGTTAGATACAATTTAACAAACCTATGAATTATCAACAAGTCAATTAAGAATATATAGATTGATTTGCTCATAAGCCAGTAGTCTAGATGCGCATTAGGTACAATGTTGAGACATTTCATAAGCTCGCAACGAGACAGTTCACAAATTAACTTCAACAAGCCACCGAGTTAAAAGGGCTCGCGAGCCTTGCCAGCTGAACAAAGTTTACCTCAACCTCAACTTGATAATCAACAAGTCGAAATTAGAACGACATTTTCTCGAATCGAGTCAATCGTGAACCACTCACCTCATAGCAATCCTACGTGGTGATGACATTTCTTAACCAAAAAACCAGTTATTTCGGTTAGGTTTGTTTCATTTGATTGTTATCGAAGTCAATCCACAAAAATTCAATATATACGTTAACCAAATTGATTGATAACCCCGGCCCATGCTCAAATCATAACAACTCGATCTGGTTGACCTGTACCTCTTAAAGCAGGTTGGATATGAGTATCGATATATGCAGCCCTAAGCTTTGTTGCTTCAACTTTGTTCTCGAGTTCTAAACATCAAACGTTGAACTGACAAATGTTATATGCAATGTATCTGTAGCATATCAATATACTGAATTCGGGAAAGCAAACCACGCACTAGCTATGTACTCCATTAACAACATACCCTCTATCTACTTGCAATTCATTCTGCCAAACCCAGTCCAAAACTTCCTAACATCAAGAAACAGGGTTTACTGCATTGTAGGAGGAAAGAGTGTGACCTTTTTGTTAGTTAGTCCTGCACACTGAAATCATCAAGCAGAGCAGTGAATCTGTACACGTTTCTGTAAACTCTATCATGGTGGATGCTGAGCATATACATCCTCTCATTCCTCGCAACATTAAAGGGCCTTCATCAGAATGAACCCTTAATCACCAGGTGCTTCACAGGAATTGTTAAAGGACCCTTTGGCAACTTGAGTTTTGCTGCATGGTTGTGGATCACTTCCTGCACTTTCACAAACGCCACAAAGAACTCTGCAGCCTTGGTCTGCCCAAGTACCTTCTTCACAAGCAGTTCCAACGTCTTAAACCTACCAAGCAACACAAAAACCAATCAAAGCAAGAAGAGAAGAAAGAAAAACGAAACATCATTGGCCTAATCCAATCATCTGTAGGCTCCATAGATATGTGCACTCACACACACATACCTGAGCTGCTGAGCCTTAGCTATGGCGCTCTGAATCTTCCTGAACTCAGTTTCAATGCAGCCCATCTCATCACCATCCCCTGATTGCTGCGGGCTATTCACAAAGGGCAGATGGAGGACACACGTGGCCTGAATCTCGGCCATTTCCTCATCAATCACTGCCTCCTCGATCCTTATCTCGTGCATCAGCTGCGACATATTACTTTCATCTGACGAGCTGGAAGAAGAGCAGTGAGCTAGTCCGCATAGGAGCTCCAGAATTGATGAGGGGCGCCAGTCTCCTAGCCATGCCAGAGTGGCTAGCTCGTGTGGAGGTGCAGAGCTAGGCATGAGAAGCTGAGAGACGTCGTTGAGCTTGGTTGGGATGATGAAACGATGGTAGTGAGCATGGAATCTATTCAACTGGTCATGAATTGATTCCTCGGATTCCCATCTTGCCTTGAGTTGTTTCTGTAGCCTTGCTGCTCTAGTTTTCTGCTCTTGCCTCCATAGACCGTACTTTCCCCAATACCCTTCTTTATCCAAACAAAACCATACAAAGACATCAATTCACGAGAATCGTGCATAGATGGAAACAACCCATGTCTCTTTTGGTTCTTTGTTCTTGATTTTCATCTCGAATTTTCTCAAAAAACCAATTAGGGCAGTGAAACAATGAATATGTACCACACTGATTACAAAGGGAAAGAGTAGCTGATAGTCAAGTTTAGGCAGGCATTCCTCAATGAAGAACAACAACACATGATTGCAAAGAAAGAACTGAAATTGGTCAGAGAGTTCTATTTACCTTTCTGATGGGTGATATCCTGCTTGCGAAAGGTTATCATGCATTGGATAACTTGGGTTCCATCGCTTTCATCAACGTCGTCTCCTTTAGAGCCTTCCTCCCTTGACATTCCTTCGCCTTCTTGCCTGATCTCACGGTCCGTCGCTTCATAAGAATTCCTGGAAAGGATCAAACGAACGTTTAGAAGGGAAAATCTTGGACATTTTCCCAAATTCCCTCCACTTTTTTCTCAGCCAGCAAACACATTGAGTAGCAGGAAACCCCTAATCAATTCATAACCAGTTATGGGGAGAAAGAAAATGCAAAGGAACGAAGAGAGTAACAATTGAAGGCAACAGCAAGGATGCCAAGAAACTCCTAATCCATTCTGAACACCACTACTGGAAACCCCATTCTTCGATCGGCCTACTGAAAAGAAACGAAAAGAAAACTTAACCCCCGATTTCATTTCTTCCCCCTCGAGAAAGGGAAGGAAAAAGTTTTCCCGGAAACCAAACAGGGCAGTGAGTGAAGCACGGGCGGCATTATTTTATTCTTGTGGTGTCGAATCTTACCAGAGGAACTGCGGCACTGTCTTCTTCATCGTTCTCTCCTCGCAGCATTGATTGAGTAACCAATGAGGATGGGATTTTCTTGTTGCTCTCTCTGTAAACAGGCTCCGACTCCGAGCTTCCCGGACGGAGTGTTTTCTTCAGCTCCTAAACAGCCTCAACCAGCCTTCACAAAAAAATCAGTAGCAACTAGCAACAGGGGAGGGGGGGAAATAGGAAAATAGGCATCGGGCCGTTATTTAGAGGTAATATCCCGCGGGCTTCGGACCAAAATGGCCATCTTCTTTCCGATGAATTTGGGCCTTGGTGCAACCACCCTGAACCAGAGTACCAGACACTGCTGCACCCTGCACACCTTTTTATTTTTTTACAGAAAGATCTTTATTGAACTTTTTTTTTTTTTTTGCCAAAGGTAGTATGTATTAGATAGGGAATTACAGAGAATTAAAAAGAATATAACGGAAATCAGCAAATTGCTTATTAGCCGATGCAAGAGATGTTTTCGCCACGCAATGGCCAGCCCTGTTAGTTCTAAGGGGAGAAAAAACGAAACAAATAAACGCGAAGGATGCTTTCATCAATCGGATTTCTTCCAGAATCGCCCCGCCACGATTATGATCTTGGCGCTCCTCCGATACGTGTCGAATCACCAGTTGCGAGTCCCCACAAAAACAAACAGAGGAGATACCCCGAGTTAAGCACCAATCCATTGAATCTCTTAAGGCCAAAAGTTCCATTATAAAAGGGTCAAATAAACCAGCATAGTACTTACCGTATGCACAAGAGATCGCCCCCGACGATGAGAAGCCAATAACCCCGACGCTACCACCAACATCCTGTCGTATACCTCCATCAAAACGCACTAACAGGCCACCTGGGGAGCATGATGGGGTGGACTGCTAGGGGGGGGGGGGGGGTGGGCGAAGCCGGGCCTGTGCAACGCGTGGCTGGGTTGATGTAGCTTCTAACCATTCATCACTTTGTTGTCTAAACTGGCGGAATAAAGGACCGGGAAGATATTGGATTCGATCATAGCAGGCCCAGCATCGTGCTTTCCAGATACGCCAGGAGAGGAAAACAAGCTCGGCCATCTCTAGTTTGCTAAGCTGTCTTGAGGTCAGCACTTGCGCCCATGCCTCGTCAGTAGGCAAAGCAGCTAATTCCTCACGGAGTCGAGCCTTCCCAGACTCCACGAGCAACCCTGCAATCAAATAAACAGTGGGAGATAGATTCTATTTCTTCAGAACAAACAGGACACTCAGAAGATTCACAGAGGGTTTTGGCGTGCAAAACAGCCAGGCAAGGGAGAAATCCTCGCACAACCCTCCATAGGAACACGCGCAGCTTCGCGGGTACAGGCAAGCTCCAAAGAACTTTCCAGAACCTAGAATCCAGGTGGGAAGGGAGGGTGTTGAAGAGTTCAGCTCGCTCATCGGAAAGGAGGTGGTACCCTGACTTCACAGTGTACTGACCAGTCTCTGAGTAATGCCAAATGAGGCGGTCGGGCTTTGGTGTTAAGGGAATAGGAATAGAAAGAATCCACTTAATATTGTCGGGGGAGAAAAAAGCTTGGAGGAGGTCTCGATCCCACGAACGCGTCAAGGGGTTGATGAGGGAAGCTACGAAAGGGTTGTCAAGTGTAATACCTGGAAGAAGGGAGAGCGAAGATGGAGGAGAGGTGGGAAGCCAAAGGTCGTCAAGGATTCTGATACATGTACCACAACCTACCTGCCACCGCAAACCTTTAAGAAGCAACTTACGCCCTTCGAGGACCCCCTGCCATGCCCAAGATTGTCGGTTTCCAGTTGGAGCGTGAAGAAAGTCACACGAAGAATGGTATCTCACCTTGTACAATTGGGCAAGGACTGAAGATGGAGACTGTAACAGCTTCCATGCCTGTTTCACCAACATCGCTAAATTGAAAAGATCAAAATCCCTGAGTCCAAGTCCCCCACGATACTTACTAACACAAATGGCCAGCCAGGATACCAGTGAATCCCTTTATTGAACTTTGAAAGATCGGTTACTGAGAGAGAAATAAAACCCTGAATTCAAAACAAGATCTAGGCAACCAAGGAGCACTGTCATATAGCGAAGATCAAGTTTCCTAAGTTGCAACCTCCAGTCCCCCAAATGAGCAAGCCTTTAAACTGGAAATCCTAGATTTTGAAGGTCATAACGGCTGGAGATATTGAAATATTTAGAGAAAAGACACCTAAAACATAGGCAAGAGGATCGAGATCATGGAAAGCAAGAAAAGCGAAAGAAAAGAGAAACTTGGGTTGCTGCCAGTCACCTGAGGGAGCCGGCGGCAACCATGGAAGGCTGGATAATGGAGGCTCTTTAGAGAGAAGAGACAGTGAAATTTGAAAGCTAAAGTAAGAGAGAGAAGTTAGGGATTGAAAGTTAATCATCCACCTTTGATGAGGTGGAGGATGAAAAATATAGATACAAGCCCATTTCAAAATGGAAGTAGAAGAGAGGAGAAAACGTTTTTAATGAAACGTTGTCGTATTGAGCATTGCATTATTGTTTGTTTTGTCGTAAGCGAATCTAGTTAAGCCACGTGTTGTCCGTAGTGTATACTTTTCTTAATTATTGTATCAACAATATATATAAAAAGAACGAAATGTGAAACTCAGCTCTCTTCGAGGCTTTTTTTATACACCTCTGCTGCTAGCTCTATACTTTTATACATTGTATTAGAGCCTTAGATTTGAAGCCTGCTCGAAATAGCAATGTCCGACACTACTCCACCGGCTTGCAGTCCTCGTCGAAGAGGTTCAACCAATGGTGTTGGATTCCAATTTGGGAGCTATGGTAGAGTCATCAAATCAGGGATACCGAGGTGTGATCCATTTTGGAAACCCCTTCTATATCAACCCAAATGAGAATTTGTCTTAGTCTATCACCGATGAGGTTTTGAATGGTACGAATCACTCAATGTGGAGTTTGTCTATGTGAATAGCATTGAAGATGAAGCACAATTTGGATTTGTTTGATGAGTCAATTGCAACTCTTGTTGTTAGAGATGTTCAGTTTTACCTGTCGATGGATGCAATACTCTCGTATTATGTTGGATTATTGCACTAAGCGTGATGAACCATGAGATTGTTCGTGTTCTTTTGGGATGAATTGAAGAGGTACTTTGGACAACCCAATGCTCTTCGAATTACCAATCTGGAAGACGAGATCCATGCTTGCAAGAAAGGTGACAAGATTGTTACATAGTTTTACATTGTGATCAAGGGTTTGCGGGTTTTTGTAAGACGAGGTTACTTGCAATTCTCTCCGAATGTTCCTTTTACTTGTACACCTGGGCCCTGGTAACCCTAATATTTGTGTTGTTGTTGAAGCTTTCAAAATGAAACAAGAGATTGACTATTTGATTCGATTCTTGAGGGGTATTAACAAGGAATATGATGTGACTAAGACCTAGTTGCTTATGCTCAAGCCGTCATTCATAGTGTCTGTTACAGTAGACAACATTGTCCAGCATGAGCATAAGCTTAAAGGGGACACCTCAAGCGCTAAGAGTAGCCAGTTTGTGGCCCTAGCCGTTCAAAAAGATCAATAAAAGGGAAACAAGAAGCTACTTCTGAGAAGCAATTTTGTAAATATTGAAAACCTACTGATCATGACATCAAAGACTGTTGGAAATTGTAAAAGAAAGAGAAGGAGAAGGCAGCCAATGGCTTTGTTAGTTCGGTTACTATGGATGGACAGTCCTCCGATAGCAACAACATAGTTTCTTATGATAGATATGATCCTTCAATATCCACTATGGGACTTTCTTCTGATGATATCAATTGTTTCAATTTGGATCCCTAAATCTCCAAGATCATCAAGGATGAAACCTAAGACATTCTTACTCTCTCGATACATACCTACTTTTCCTAATCATGCTGGTAATTATATCCTTTCTCACACCTATAAATGGATCACTATGTCGCAGCATCTATATGCATTTTGGATACTGGGACCTCTGATTATATCACATATAGTTTACATTATTTCATTGATCATTCTGTGGTCAAAAACACCTATGTCTACTTGCCAAACAACTCTTAAGATTTTTACGAGTCATATAGACACTGTTAAACTGCCATTCAGACTTCTCTTACACAAAACCCTGCTACTGCCAAATTTTACTTTTAACCTCATTTCAACCAACAAGTTGATTAGTGACTACCTATCTCTCTGCAATTTCCACTATGATGTCTGTGAACTCCATGACCTTTAGATCCAGAAGAATATTGGTTTGTCAAAACAAAGTAGGGGTATGTACCATCTTACACCCACCATATATTCATTTCCATACGAGGATTCCAACAATCATCTAGTTGCCACCACCTACAACTTTCATCCACAATAAGTCAACTTATGGAATTGACGTTTAGGACATCCTAGTAGAGACAAATACCAATTACTTAAGCTTTAAAATTCCATTTTTAATAGTGAACTTGTTACTCACAATGATATTTGTCATAAAACTTCCCTTTCATGTTAATGAGAATCATGCCCTTGAGGCTTTCCATTTAATACATGTTGATATATGTGCTCCCAATACCTGTGCAATCATATGATGACTATTCTTATTTTAGCACTGTAGTTGACTATAGTAGAGTTGTGTGGATTTGCCTTATGCATAGTAAAAGTGAAGCTTAAGATTTGTTACTAGGCTTATGTTGTCTTATTGAGAGACAATTTGGTAAGACCGTGAAAAAGGTTCGTAGTGTCCAAAGAAAGGATTTTCATATGAGTTATTTTTACATGGTTGGCATTGAACAATATATTTCATGTGTTGAAACTTCTGAGCACAATGGTGGAGTAGAACTTAAGCACCAACATATCTTGAATGTTGCTTGTGCTCTAAGGTTTCAATATGGCGTTGCATTGCAATTCTGGAATGATTTTATCCTTCACTTGGTGAATCTTCTAAATTGCCTTCCTACTCATATTCTTAAAAACAAATCACCTTATGATTTGTTGTTTCAAAAACCATATGATCTTAGTCAATTGAAAGTTTTTGGATGCCTTGGTTATGCTTCCACACTCACAAAAGGGAGGACAAAGTTCCAACATCGTCTTAAAAGTGCATCTTCCTCGAATACCCTTATGGCATCAAAGGTTTCAAAAAATTTATACATCAATGATCGCAATATGTTTATTCCTAGCAATGTTATCTTCTATGAGAACATTCTACTCTTTAAAAATTCTTCATACATACATTCTATCACTTCACCACCTCTCATTCCTCCTATTCCCTCTCTACCTTTAGCGCACACATCTATTCATTTTTTTCCTCCTAACATTTATGCTAATGAGGAATTAAGGGGGCGTAGGACATCAACTTATTATCATGACCGAGGATACTCTCACTGATAATGAAGACTCGCCTGAGATTTCTGTTGATCAAGTAGGGGAATCTAATGATGATTTATCTAAGCTATAAGTTTAGGAAGACTATGAAGGGAGGCCAATTCGTGCCAATAGAGGTAATTTGACATCTTGGTTGGAGGATTACTATGTGGGAAGTACTAGCAGGTATCCTATGAGTGAATTCATGAATTTAGATCAGTAACCACACATTAACCAATTTTATGCAATGAATGTTGCTTTTGAATTGGAATCTACCACTTATAGGGAGACTGTCGAAGCTAAACACTGGAGAAAGGTCATAAATGAGGAAACTCAAGCTTTGAAAGAAAACCATACTTGGGATGTTGTCACATTGCCAAATAACAAAAGGGCTATACATAACAAATGGGTGTTTAAGATTAAAAACATGTCTAATGGAATCATATAAAGATACAAAGAGAGATTGGTGGAAAAGGGTTTTAAACATGTGTATGTAAGTGACTTCTTGGACACCTATTCCCTTTATGGCTAATGGTTCAGATAGGTGAGTGTGCAAGTTAAGAAAACCTCTTTGTGGCCTTTAACAAGCAAGCAAACAATGATTTGCTAAGTTTGCTTCTTCATAGTTGAAACATGTTTTTTCACAATCTATTTCGATTATATTGTATTTACAAAGTGGGTAAATGGACTTATTGTAGTCATGATTGTTTATGTCGATGACATAGTCCTTGGTCTGGATGATAAAGGTGGCATAAAAGAAGTGAAGAAGTTCCTTAGCTGAAACTTAAAGATAAAGGGTTCGGGGCATTTAAAGGAATTTCTTGGAATCGCGATTCAGATAATCAACAAAGCTATAACAGTGTGCCAAAGGAAAATATGCACGAAGCTTCTAAAAGACACTGGACATTTTGATGCCAAGCTTTGCAAAACACCCCGGATTCCAAAGTCACACTCCCCACTTGCAAATCTAGAGTTATATAGGAGATTAATGGGGTGGCTACATTACTTGACAACAACCAAGCTTGATTTGAATTACCCTAGGTAGCAACCGAGCCAATTCCAAAAGGACCCTAATGCAAAACACTTTCAAGTAGCTGAAGAATAATAAGATACATTAAAGGGTCACCTAATAAAGGGATTTTCTTTAAGAGTGATTCTCATTGAAGTTCTCATGTGACAATGACTCAAATTGGACGAGTGGCCTTTATTTTAGAAGATTAGTAAGTGGATAATGCACTTTTCTTGGAAGTTCTTTGATCACTATTGTGCATTGTACTGATACGAGGACAATATCCTCACTGATGTGGTTAGATATTTTCTTGTCTCAGGTTGACCTCGTAAGCAGCTAGTTACCCCCTATCTAAAATTGAAAGTTATGTGTCATCATAGAGTTCTAGTAAGTTGTTGATTTTGAGTATGATTTGCATTGGGACAAACAAAATTCAATTGTGGAGTTATTTAATGACACATCAAATGTATGTTTTCATCACCTCATCTCAAAATATGTTACATTTTTCCTGCACATATATGGTTATTCTGACTTGGAATTGATTGTTATTTGATCAAATGTGTGTTTAGTAGCCTCTGTGTGATTATATACTCCTGATACCTTTTGTAGGGTTGTAAACTTGACCCTAAAAACTCAGGGTCGGGGCGAGTCGGTTTGTCTACAAGGTTAGTTTAGGGCCGGGTTATCTTTTGACCCTGTAAGGGTCGGGTTATCTTTTGACCCTTAGATATGAAATTCCACATACAAACACATTGAACCTGTTTCTAAAATTTTAAAAGTTTACGTACTAAATTGTAAAAATAAATAAATTTGGATACCAAAATGTAATTTTACCATCAAAATTTAAGGACTTATTTGTAAAAAAACATTTAGGTACTAAATTGTAAGAAAAAATAATTTTGGGTACCAAAATATCAGTGTGTTGATAAGGGTCAAGAAGGAAACAGGGGCGGGTAGGGTCAATTATACATCTTAACCCTTCAGGGTCGGGTTAGATAGGGCCAGGGCAGGATCAGGGGCAGGTCAAGGTAATTTTTAGCCCTACCTTTTTGTAGTGTTTTGGAAATATTCTAGAAAACTACTACCTATTGTAACCAACAAACTATTCAAATGAACAAAGCAACAAATCAATCAAATTCTAACAACTAAACTTCCTACACAATAAGGAGTAATTCCCC